ACCTCGTAGCGTTTTGTTTATAATTAGCGCAATCCACCCCACACCGAGCATCGACACGTCGCTGATGAAGTTTAGCTAGATTTTTTCAAGTTAATAGTTTCGAACTCTAAAAAAGCTATTAAATATTTTTCAAATTTCTTTCGCGCTGCGATTACATAAACCCCGTTTACAGGGGCATTCCGAAAATTTTCTGCTCACTTAGCCTAATCGAAATCGTCGCTTTTTAGCAAAATTTGTCCTCTAAATCTTATCTTTCCTGCGTTCTAAAAGGCCTAAAAGGTTCTAAAAGGTACTTTTTAATGGTTGACTTTGTCAAACTTTCTAAAAGGTTTTGAACTTAGGTTAAAAGGTAAGACTTTGAAGTCTATCTTTTTTCGTAAAATGACCCGCTGGTTCGGAAAAATCCCTTACCCAGAGGGACACATTGGCAGACGGGAGGCCGAGATAGGGCCAGACTTGCTAAAACAGAGGCTTGAGAAGGCGATGTGCCCGGTTGATAACTTTATGGTACCGCTTTGAATTCTTTAAAGGTACGTTCCGCTCTCGTTCTGGAACCCTGGTCTGCGGCGGGAATTTGGGGGCCTGGCGGCCGTGGGCAGGCGCATTGTCTTATGCCGTCGGGCTTTAAAGGTACATTTCACGCTCGTTAAAGAAACCCGGGTCGGCGGCAAGCATTCGGCTGTCCGGCGTTCGCGACCTCCTGCCCTTCATAACCCTTCGCCCTGCCCCTCTCACCTCTCTCCCAGGTCCGAGTGGTCTAAAGCGCTTACCCCGGGCGAGCGTCCCGGGTTCGGTTTCGCCCGCCTTTTAGCACCTACCCTCCCCGCATTATAAAACAAAATTTGTCTAAGATCTTAGACCATTCAAACAAGAGCGGACTGGAGTTTTAAAGCTCGATTCAACCGTTCCGGCAAAATCTTACCAAAAAGGCCGTGACAAACAGCTGTTGCATCATGGTGATCAAGCAGATTAACATCAGGTTTACCTCGAGGTGTGCGTTCTCGGTTCTCAAGGAAGGTTTAGGGTTAGGGTTAGGCTTAGACTCACCTTTGCATCTTGACGCGTAGGGCAATAATTTTTGCAACGGTCGCGATGCAAATTATCACCGAGATGACCGGGTAAACAAAAGTACCAGCCTCAGTAAACTTGGGCACAAAGCGCATGTTCTTCAAACAACCAAATTGAGGTAATTTACGAATTGCTATCAGAATCTCGAAAATCAGAATCTCGAATTTTCAAAATCTCGAATTTTCAGAATCTCGAATTTTCAGGATTTCGAATTTTGAGAATCTTGAATTTTCAAAATCTCGAATTTTCAGAGTCTCGAACTTTCAAAATCTCGAATTTTCAGAATCTCGAATTTTCAGAATCTCGAATTTTTAGAATCTCGAAATATGCCGATGCTGGATTTAGTGCATAGACGTGCAATTTTCGGAACCTATATTGCTGATTTAAACCATAGAAATTTCGAGATTCTAAAAATTCGAGATTTTGAAAATTCGAGATTTTGAAAATTCGAGATTCTGAAAATTCGAGATTCGAGAGAGATTTCCGTAATTTACGTCATTAAAGTCACTTTACCTGATAAGCAGCATAGTCGATGCCCGCATACCCGTCGGCGCCGTGGATAAAGAGATTTGGGAGGAATAGGCACTCGCTGGCGGATAGGATACTGAGAATCATGATTATGATGAGAGCTATGACGATATTACGCGTTTCCCAGATCTGAAAAAAACCGTCTTTATTTTAACTCTTCTCATGTAGACCGAAGATTTTCATAATCTATGCAATTTTTGCAAAAAAAATAGCGCTAAACGCGTGCCAATTTGTGCGTTCTATAACGATCAATTTGAAGGGAAACCAGTTTTAGTTGTAATAGCTGAAAGTCTAGAAACCAGCGGTCAATTTAGAATTGGTGAATTTATGGATAGTTTTTGATACAAATATCAACCCAAAAATATCTGAAGTTCCGGGTTTTTGGGTACTCTAAAATGAAGTCACGACGTCGATATTATTGGAATTTTTTTTGATTTGGGAAACCGTACCCGATCATGCCACCATGGGGCCCAGACGATGGTGAAGCGATTGACATACAAGAGGATTAGCCCCATATCCTGCGCATGCAACTGGCCAAAGTACCACGTGAGCAGCACGCGCATGGGTGGGAATGGTTTTTCGATCCCCACGTAGACGTCCACCAAAAAGGCAAATTCGCGGAATTTGGAAATAAAGTACGTGTTGATGTAGCTGGTGAGGTACTGGAATCAGAGTAAGGTAACCTGTATTCTTCCTGGGGGAGCCCGAATAAACCCGGACCCAGAATTGGCTGAGAATTGGCACACGGACTGAAACGACCATGCTGATCATCACCTCATTGCCCAAATTTGCCAATGACCTTTAAAACTCGAGATACTTATCTTTTAGTGTCCATTTTTACCCCCGAGAAATGTTTTCAATGATGCCTTTTGTTTTCTTTGTTTTGGAGTTCGAATTTATTTGAAGCGGCCTATCTGATAGCAATTTTTTTTCTGATTCGAATGGTGTATTTTATGAAGTCAGGTTTCGCCTAGACGCATGGATTTTCAATCAATTCTGAGCTCGGGTTTATTCGGGCCCTCCTTGTTGGATCAGATCAATCATTTTGATTACAGGGTGGCCCGAAAGTAGGTTGACCGAGACTTTTTCGGATTTTCTAAAAAACTAGATGTTATATAAAACCACTCGTTTTTTTGGGTTGGATTCGTTGCGATGAAGCAACTTACCACAATCAGTACAAATATATAGATCTTATAAAATGATCCCTGGATGAGGGTGTGAGTTCGGACGATGGTGATGACCACCAGGATCATGAGGATCAGCGAAGGTATACCGTAGGCAACATAAAAGCAGAAATTCGTTATCATCGCTGGAATGTGCTCAGAGTCTGTTGCTGGAATACATTGAGGGGCTGGGAACGGAGTTTCAACCCGAGTTCTGACAGTCGAAAAAGTTATACTTGTTTGCTGCGGATAATTGCCGATTCTAAATTCCAAGGGCCCAAGGGTGTGCGTTGGCGTTGTTTGGGCAGAGCAACCGAAAAAGATCGCTAGGGGCAAGGTGGCACTTTCGAAAATCGGAGGTTGAGAGTGGAAATCAGCCACAAAATGAATGACAATTGAGTGTAAATACCTGATTTCGCGGAACGCCTCGCAGCACGGTACAACCCGAACAAAATGATGAAAAGATGCGTCCAAAAAGAAGCAGTGTACTTTCTAGTGTTTTTGATAGTTCTCAAGATAGATAAATTATTCGCAAATTCAAACGAAAGTTAAATTTTACAAAATTTTCAAGCGTTTCTAAATCTTAAAAATAAAAAAAAGCTCTAAATCTACTAATCTTTACTGTTTTGAAGTGGCTCGGCAGTAAAAAGTCATATTATAAAGAATGTTAGATTGAGAATAGCCACCTCAGGAAACTTTTTTTGTGTCTGTTTGTCAATGAATCGTTGCATTTGCTTGCTCTTCTATAAAGTTTTTAAGAAACATGCAAGAAGATGAAAAGATAGAAAAGATGAACGCGTTGCGGTGCGTCGCGTACCACTCTTTCCGTCCTTCCCTCTCGTTCGAATTTTCGAAAACACTGGAAATCCAGCCGCAACTCCGGTGATCGATGCGTTGCGTGCCGCGCCGCGTCGTATGTCGCTTCGCGGCAGCGTCCTGCAAGAATGCCTTGCGCGCTGCGTCGTAAGCGTCGTAGCGTAGCGTAAGGTATCATAGGTTTGTTTCTGACGCACGACTAGGTCAGGTACCATTTGCAAAATTTTCAAAAATCCATTTTGCTGTATGATTGCTTTATCATCAGAAATCTATCAGATGCCTAAGCCCAAGCTTAAGCCCAAGCGCAATCCAAGCCTAGGCCTTCCCTTCCTAACATCAACCTTGACTTCCTCACAGCTCTGCTTTAATCCTACTGTTGTGTACAATACGAACCACATCATCAAAATTTTGCGGCCAAAAACCAACACTCTAGCCGATGTTCGACCCCTGTCCACCCAAACAAAGCTTTGGTCAGCTATTTTTCGGGCTTTTTTGCAGCTTACCCGCTCGAGTTTCGGCTTATTTTCAAGCGTTTTTTAAGCGTGGTAAGCCGTTTTTAATGGGTCAACTCAGCGGGCAGTGGTCAGCTCGGTCGTCCCCTCCTCTGCTGGCTAATGAGCAAATGGACGGAGCGGATTTTTGGTAGAGCGCAAGAAACTTTTTCGGAGATCAGGGCGGGAATAAAAAAAAATAAAGTGGTTCGCTATAAAATGGATGAGGTCGGGGACCGTATTTTGGGTTTTGGCCTCGAATCGAAAAATTGCAATTACAGTACTTTTCGAATTGGAATGAATTTTTGTTATTTTACAAGTGTAGTAACAATGATTTTGAACGATTAACCTGTGCTAAAAGATATCTCAGGTCTTGCTCAGCTCGGATCGATGCCTGATCAAACAATTTACGAATTAGCATATATTACATCGCGTATATTTTATTTTTTTCTGTTTCTACCAGGGTTGAAAAACCGCTTCGCGGCTTTTCAACCCTGGCCCCGTCTAGGAACTATCAGAAGTATTGACTTTGCATAATTCTTGCCGAAATCCGGGAACCGAAAAAATGAAAACCACGCCCTCCCTTCTTTTTTATAAACCACCTCCACTTCCGGCGTATGCTAATTTCTTCCTAACAAAGAGGGAAGCCAAGATTTTTACAAAAACCTAATTTTAATAGCGAAAATAGCAATTTTTCGAAGAATTTATGTGCGTGCAGTCGATTCCGGCCCCTTCTTTACCTAGTGACGTTTCTTCCCTAGCGAAAAAATGCTTCCCTGAGGCTGTAGGTGCGGAACATCCAAACGGAAGTGCATGCAAATATACACACACACACACACACACAGACACTATTTTTTTATATATAGTAGGATATGGCTTACAATTAGCGTTAGAGTTTCTGTGGTAAAAACCCCCCATAAAACTTTGTTTTCAGATGCTGCGGTACTTGGTCCTGATCTCATGCTCCTTTGCGATTGCCTATTCTGGAGCATGTGACGAGGGTGCAAGTTTGGGCCCGAAGTGCAAGGTATATAATTCTAATCGCTAAATTCAGTAGTAACCCCAGTTCAGGGTGGCAGACACTAAAACTTACAACGGTTTTTCAGGCCTTTCTCAACTACCTCATCCCCAACTTGACGGCCGTTTTCAAGCCGACCGAAGAGGTGGTGTGCATGGTACGTTCGGAAATTTAAGTTTTTGATTAATACGTCGGTAAACAGCCCTCTAAGATTGGGGCCTTTTTCCTCACCCTTTTTCAGATTAACAACGACTTGGGTACATGCGTGCCGGAAGGAAAGACTTTTGCGCAATGCGCGGCAGGTTTGAAATTTTCAGAATGCATGTGTATTTTTTTTCTCTACGTCATTATTCTGATTGATTATCTCATGCTCAAAGCTGGTAAAAGCCCAATTTTTAGTGCTGGCGAGCAAAAGCGGCGATTACAAGAACAAACTCATCGCCACCCGTGCCGATCTGCTCGGCACGCTCACCACGTTCCAGAATTGCTTGTCAAACCTTGTAGGTTTCTCCCTGCTCCCTTTCTCCATATCTCTCGCGCTATCTCTCTCTCTCTCTCTCTCTCTCTCTCTCTCGCTCTCTCTTTGTCTCCCTTCACCCGAGCCTCTTCCAGAAGGACGGCGACTACGCGTCCTTCCTGAAACGTACCGTCATAGCCGGGATGAGCGCCATTCTGAAGGCACCTTACAATAAGGCGGTAGGTAGTTAATCGAGGATACATTCCAATTGGCTTCTAGATCCTGACCAAGATAAAGCAGATGATCCAAAACGGCAAGTCACTTGCTGAGCGGACCGAAACGGCCTGTGAAACCGGCACCGCCATGACCACCAATCCGCTTATCGTCAAGGTGGTCAAGGTGAGAGTGATAGAGAGAGAGGCCCATGAAAAGTTTTTCAGAAGGTCATGTCGCTGACGTTCAAGCAATCCTGGCAAGAATGTATCGTGCCACTTATGAGACCGAGTTCGGCAAGTCACCTCCAAAAAACATTATTTTTCAATTATTTAGGGTGTCCTCCTCATCAGCAAGTATGTCAAGAGCGACAACAAATGCAAGCAGGCCGGGCCCTCGGGTAAATAGATACTTCGACCTTAGAAGAATCGATAAAAAAATGCATCTGGTTTGAGGGTTACAGCGCATCTTTCAAAACTATCTTACAAGCTTGAGATCAGTTGTGCAGAGCTTATACAGAGAATTCCCGATTGTGCGACTTTCTACCGCACCGAGATTCAAAGTCCTGTTCCAGCCACAGCCGGTGAGGATCGGCCTTTTAAAAAGCGCCGTCCAGCCTTTCCGCGCTAGAACGCACATGTTAGATGCGAATTTGTGGTGTTGATCACTTTGGCGGGTTGAACGACAGGATAGGAAACTGATCATACTGGAAAAACCGTTCAGAGCTATCAAAGAAGGCAAGCCCAGGCAAAACGATAAACATCCGTCTTTCATGCGGAATTACAGGCTTGTTTGGGTCTACTGTCTACTCGGTGTACAAGAAAACGTTTTTCCAATCCGAGAGGGCTCCGGGCCGCATGATCACACCAAATTTTCATGCATAGGGTCCACAGCCTCCAGTACGTAGATATGTCTACGAACGATTGTAAAACATTTAAAGGAGTGGGCATGATATGCCATTAGTAAACATGCACCCAATTATGTTACGCAAAAAATGGCGGAGAGAACGCGCCGAGGTGCGAGAGAGCAAGGCTGCTTTGCGGTTAATCCCTAGGTTTGTGCTACATATTGCATGTAGCGTCCTGATCTTTTCGATGTTGAAATATTTGAAAATTAGTCTCTTCAGGGTTGGCTAAACCCGTTGATGAAACCAAATCTGGAGTACCGACTAAAAGATGCCAGCCGTAATTTTACACAAGCCAAGCGGTAACTCGTCGGAAGCGCCACATTTCAATGAAGCGGAAAAGCCAAATCGTACTTATCTTCCTTTGCAAAAAATATCATCGACGGGCACTTCGCGTTTTCCCTGCCCACAGCATTTCGTTGAACCCCCATTTGTACAAAGCGTTCGAAAACCATGTTCCGCTGCTCACGTGGGCATCAAAGTCCGTCGTCCAACCGAGGACCAACAAAAATTGGGCGGCGCCACCGTCGAAACGTAGGCGGCCCCGGCTCATCGCCCAAATCGAGCCAATTTCGCCCCCAAAATTAGATTGGACGATGTTGTGCCAATGGTTTTGTGGGTGCTGATCATTGCAATGGTGGTGCCCGCCCAATTAAGGCCATCGGGTAGAGAGGTATGAGAAAACGGGAAAAATGCTGGTCATTTGCAAGAGAGCCAAGAGGGAATGAACGTGAACTATTTGCGTGGAACGGAAGAGGTTCTTCGGGTGTATAAAAACACGGGCTAACGTGGGCAGAACCTGGCACATTTTGGTCGCAACCCTTCAGAGCTATTACAGCAACGCGCTTAGTCAAGCATTCATTTGCGCTATTTTATGCCTCAAACGGACCATGACGACTTCTTAGAATTAGTCTTGCCAATTCTAAATGGGCCTGATCTACAAAAAAAATTTCGGGTAAAGACATCCCGACGCCAATGCTCTCGAGCGGAGGCGCTCTGGCTTCCTTTCTCGTTGGCTCAAACTCCTTACCTTGCTGTCTGTAGCTCCCTTTAGCATAAAGTGGTCGTTTTACTTTTTGCAAACTGTAGATTGAGCACCATCGAAACGGCCTGTCTTTTAGATGGGCTAAAACAGCGTCGTAATCAATCCATACGCTCGAGCCTTCCCTGTATTTAGATGGCCACGAGAATTTTGGTCCTTGATTCCAGTTCCCTTTCTCCATACTTCTAACCTAATAGATTTTCCAAATCCAGAAGCAATGCGCGCCTTCTCCTTGGTCACTCTGGTTTGCTTGCTCCTCGCTCGAGAAGCGGAAGGTGACGCTTGCAGCGCGGTCACCGGAAACATTGCCACCTTCACCTCAAAGCTGTTGAGCAAATTGACGTCACCTAATTTCTTCTCAATCACTGATGCTATTGTGTGCCAGGTGGGGCAAAGACGCAAAGACAGGGGCGAAGAAAACGCCAATTGCAGCCCAAAATGCTCGAAAAATTTAGCTTTAAGATTGCCAACGACACAGCAACCTGGTCCGGGCAAGGGCTGCCGATGGCGACTACGGTGAAAAGTACGTTTCAGCATCCAAAAATGCATGTAGGAAATCGTAAAACCATGGAAAAAGGCGCCTTCAGATCTGATCGCCAACTCTGGTAGCTACGAGACCACGGTTATCACCACCAAAATGGACATGGCCGGCTACTTAATGGACTTCATCAGCTGCGCATCCGATGTGGGTTTGTTAATGATGACTTGCACCGCCTATTAAAAGATCTAGAAACTCTAGAAATATCATAGCATTCCAGTGTAAGGAAAGCTCGTGGACGGCTTACCTCAAAGGAACGGTCCTCTTCGCAATGCAAAAGTTCATGAAAAAGCCGTACAAGAAATGCGTGGTGAGGGAGGGTTTGAGGTTCAGGACGATATGCTCTTTCAGACCAGCCAGGTACCGACGTACGTGAAAAATGGTGTGAGCCTTGCTGAGTGCTCCGATAAAGTCAGCAAGTGTGGAGCTGCCTGCATTACCGCTAACCTCATCAAGAAGATTGTGAAGGTAAGTGGTAGCTACAAGGCTTTTAAACTTTCATATTTCGGCTACCCCCAATGTTCGATCTACTATAATTGCTCTGGATTTTCAGCTGACCATGAAACGCAGCTGCTCGTGCACCTGGACCAGCTGCGTGAAACCGCTGATCGCGGCTGGAGTCCTCAACATCACCGATTATCTCCCAGCCAAGGGCGCCTCGCTGCTGAGGGCCAAGTGCCCGTCAAAGAGCGCATAAGCAAGATTAAATACAACATAAAAACGGAAAAATTAATAAATAAAAAGCATACCGATTATCATGACCATTTTAATGCAATGGCCCACTAATCGATTGAGGCGTTTTCGCAAATGACAAATCCAATGATTGGATCTATTTTCTGGTTAATGAACCCAATCAAGCGGGGCAAAGCAAGACAATACTGACACTCGATTATACTATTTCGAATACTTAGCAATCGATCACGATTTCAACGATCTCGTTTTACGAGTCGCGTCACTTATTACCTCAAACTGCATACAACATTCCCTTGCTTTGAGACTAACCGATGCCTTGCGCAAATCAATCGCAAAATCAAGTTAGGATCATAATTCGATACACGAGTCGTTTCCATCAATTTTATGTAGCCAACTGAAAGCCCATTCGTCCAAATCCGCAATCTTCCGGACGCAAGAAGGCACAAAAATCATCATAAAAACTTCATATACGACCAATAGCTCATTTCAGTGCGGCGAAAAGTCGTGGACGGCTTTTATGCAGGGCACCGTCCTCTTCTCCATGCAGAAATTCATGAAAAAGCCGTACAAAAAATGCGTGGTACGCCGACTACATGAACCAAATTGAGAAAACTCCTTTCTAGACGTCAAAGGTAACGACCTACATCAAGAACGCTGTCGGGTTGCCCGAGCGTTGCGACAAGGTCAGCAAATGCGGTGCCGCTTGCATTACCACGAAGCTGATCAAAAAGATTGTCAAGGTGGGAAAACCGGAGCATGATTAGAGTCTCGGGCTAGTGTAGAAGCGCCGTGTTTTAGTTAACGATGAAGCGCAGCTGCTCCTGCACATGGACAAGCTGCGTCAAGCCCCTGATCACGGCCGGGGTCCTCAACATCACGCCCTACCTTCGGGCTAAAGGCGCCGCGTTATTGCTCGCAACGTGCCCATCGGAGAGCGCATAAATCTATTCACATAATTACTAGGAAAATAACTAAAAATGCATGCATATTCGGCCGAAATCAACAGAAAAAAATGTAAATAAAACATAAGAAAACATAAATGGATAAAAGATAGGGGTGAAACATGAAAATAGAGAACAATGAAAATCAGAACATTTCAAGACGGCCATATTACACATTCGCTGGGCAAAACCAAAAAATGGATGCATGTCATTGGTGAAATCGTGTGACTTAATAAAGGTTGCAGCAACTCAAAAATGCTTAGAATACGAAACAAAAGGAAACAGAACAAAGCTGCTTAAAAAGGACTTTGGCCACCCTTTAAAACTAAACATGTGATCGACATGAAGTCATGTCGTATTTTTTTGTCTAAGAACGGTGTGTAAGGCACATTATTTGTATAAAAGAAGGCCAAATTAATTGAATTGGTACCGGTAAAGCGCGTCAAAAAACGATAGGCCACCGGGCGCCAGTACATCCCTTGCCGTTACGGTCACAGGGCCCGCCCTAGGCGAGAGGGAGAGCGCGAGAGGGGGTTCAGGCAAACGCGGCGCCAGTTCCAAAGTTATTTGCATTGCAGTTTCATCAAGTCAGATTAATCCATCGCTGCCGACCTGCCATAAAACGTAAACTTTAACACCTCTTGTTTTTCCCATATTCTTTATTCTCCGGCATCTGCCCTCTCTGCATCCGCCTCTTCGTATCCCGCGAGCAACAAACCTTGGCGCCGATGTAGCCCAGACAAAAACCGATCCGTTTCGTTGGACGATAAGCTTTTCATCGGCGGTCGATGTTCGCGAGGTTTTCGAACCAAAATGTGATTACTTCGGGTTGTCCCGTTGGTCTTCGTGCGCGGGGCAGGGGAGCGCAACACCCAATTAGCACCCCGATAACTGTTATGATGGTTCTGGGGTGGACAAAAACTGGTCACCTCGAGGAAAAGCCAAAAAACGTAAGCTTGGACTACTGACGACGTGCCGACCAAGTTTTCGGGTATAAAATGCTGCGCCTTGACAAAAGGAAGGACACAAATTTTGAAACTTTGGTCGCGCCTTGGTCGTCGAAAAAAACTTCGTTCTCTCGACGTGCTTCTGGCCTTGCCGTCGACTGGGCTTTGCTTCAATACCAGGCTTTATTTTGTCAAGGCTTTTCGCCTGTTGCATTAAGTCGCTACCGCTTACAAGATCCTGAGATTTATCACTTACAACGTTTTCGCAGGGGCCTGTGTCTCTCTGCATGACATAATCTTTCTGCCTAAATATGGACCTCCGTTAATAATTCCTTTTGTTTTGATCGTGAATTTCATCAATATCCTGCATAACACCTCACAATCCAGGGTCAACGATGCGCGCCTTCGCCTTGTCCACCTTGCTTTGCCTTCTCCTTATTCGCCAATCATCCGGCGATGCCTGCAGCGCGGTCACCGGCAACATCAAGGCCTTCGCGCAAAAGGTTCTGGCGAAGTTGACGCTTCCCAAGTTTTTCACCATCAGCGACAGTATCGTGTGCCAGGTACGCGTAACTTTTGGTATTTGAAAGTTGCGAAACCTTGAGATCGCCAACGACACCGCTACATGGGCTGGCCAGGGAGTTCCGATGGCGACTATGACGAAAAGTAGGTATCTACCTGCATATAAAAATAGTGCCTGTGTATGGTTGGCATGAAACATGGGTCTTAGACGAGGCCAGCTATAAAAGCCGCGAAGCGGTTTTTCAGCCTTTGTTCACAACTAAATTGTCATTCAACTTTGATTACCGCCCTTTTCCAGACCTAATGGCCAACTCCGGCAATTATGAATCGACGGTGATCGCAACGAAAATGAGCATGGCCAACTATTTGATGACCTTCATCAGCTGCGCTTCGAACGTCAGTGTTGTTGAAGGCGACCAACACTTTTTAGTGCGGCGAAACGTCATGGACGGATTATCTGGAAGGAACGGTCCTCTTCTCTATGGAAAAATACATGACCAAACCGTATAACACTTGCGTGGTGAGTGAGCTACGTTCTTTTGATATAATGCTCTCCTCTCACGCGTACAACTACAGGGTGTTCTAATAAAAACACACCCTGTAACTCGGCGGAGAAGGGTCGCATCGGAACGCTAGTTACGGCATTCGAAAGCCCTTAAAACGAAGAGTTTGCAAAAATCTTGAAAACCATGTTTTTGTTTAACTACACCATTTTATAACGCATTTAAAACATTAAAGAACGTCGTCTGCTTTCCATTAACGGTAAGCTCCGGTCATTTTGCTTGGAGAAATTGAGGCAAAAGGGCCGGTATGCAATCCTGAAAAACAGTAAATTCTTGCAATTGGCTGCCAAAAGAGCTAATTTAAATCAAAACATGGCTCTGAAGATCGACGCAAACTTTAGGATGGTGTAACTATCCTTCCGATCCGATACTTCTGCGTCGAGTTAGAGTGGCACGTTTTTTTATTGCTTCATTGTTTTTTATCGGGATACCCTGTATATCCTTTAGACTGCCGAGGTGCCCAAGTACCAAGCCGCCGGGAAGTCTGTGCCCGCGTGCGCGGACCTCGTGAGCAAATGCGGGATCGCTTGCGTCACCCCGAAGCTTATCAAGGACATCGTGAAAGTAAGATTTATGAGAACGTTCGCTCAAAATTTTCCATGGCAAGACCCTGACTTTCTGACCATGCAATGGACAATCGAATGGCAGCAACTTTTCAGCTAACGATCCAACGTAGCTGCGCGTGCACTTGGACAAGCTGTGTCAAGCCGCTGATCGCCGACGGAGTGCTGAACATCACCAACTTTCTTCCGGCCAACGGGGCCTCGTTGCTGATGCCAAAGTGCCCATCGAAGTCCGACTAGGCGCAGCCGCTGTAAATTACGTTCCGAATAATAAAAGTGCATATTATTACTCGAGTCTCTTGACACCCAATGATTGCAACCACTTTTCTTTGTTTTCATCTCTGAAAGAAAGTAGTAAAATGCAAGGGTGTCACGATCTGCCGCGCGTCCAACGCTGATTTTCGGTTCCGGACTTAAGCCATGGTCCAAAGCTCCTAGTGCAAATAATCATCTTAAACCAGACTAATTAAACTTGCACCACAAAAGTCACGCCGCAAAGTTCGCAAGCACCACAAAGTTTGGGGGATTGCTGTAATTACTGGTGCTGGTCTTGCAATAGCTCCTTTTCCGCCCTTTTAATAATTTGCCATTTTTTTAATAGACTTGGCATTGGCGATTTGTCAGCAAACCGCTGTATCGTTTTGTGATAGAGAAGCACAAAATTTTGGAGCTAGTCCCTAGATAAATCCAGAGACTGAATCGGGCAGGCTCTGATTTTAAAAATAAGATGATATAAATGTTCGTGGAATTTCTGAACATATAAAAACCCTCACTCGATATTGTTGTGTCCGAAGAGGTGTTGATGCGCAGCGGGACCAAGCAGTTCCAACACTGTTTATTAGACGAGCATCATGGCGGCAAGAAGGAATGAGAAGTCGAATTAAACGGGGATTAGAACTAGGGAATAAATGACAATCATAGGGCCCGTGGGGAGAGGGGCCGCACCGCATACGCGACGCGCCCCGTTACGGTGCTAGGGCACTGGATAGGCGAGGGGAACGGGGAGCGAAGGGAAAGGCAGCAACGCAACAGATAAGAATCTCGAATTGATGCTTGACCAGGGTTGAAAAACCGCTTCGCGGTTACGGTTTGCTTTACCCCCGCGCCCCAACCGGAATGTTTTGGCTATAACTTTTTCATTTCTCTCGCTCTCGCACTATGTTTTCTGATATATTGTTATTATTAAAGGGATGCCGACGGCATAGTGAAACGGTTACGCGCGGAAAAGAAAATGTCTCTGCGCCTCTCCCCTGGGCGCGCTCTCTCCCCTGCTGGCTACTTGCCAATTTGTCGATGAGGGGGGATCGACACATGCCGTCGGCAGCCCTTTAAGGGTTTATTATTTTATTATTGGTCGTGCATTGTCACATTTTTATGCATAGCTTTTTGCAACAATTTTTAACATCGCCACCGAAATTCTCTCCCAATTCCAGATTTTTCGTTGCGCTCAAATCATCAAATGCGGGGGTTCATTTGTAGGGCGCCGTTTTTTGGCCCTCTATTCGGCGCAAACCCGCTCTCGATACCGTACCAGATCTCCGGCTGAACCCCCGACCCGTGATCATCCGCCGATAATTGGGATTAAACCCGGGGGGTGCTCTTTAGGGCGGAGCGCGCTGACCAAAAAATGCTGTAGTTTTTCTGTCTGGCCAAAACGGTATAAATAAGGGACCGACAGTTTAACGACCAAAAAACCGTGGCTGGATGCGATGATTTTCGAGTTTTTGGAAAACGATACCTTGTGAAAATTTCTGCGCTCATCCATTTAACAATTTCTTCGCCATTTTTAGAAAAATAGTGCCAATATCGCGAGATGGTTGCAAAACCGCTTTGCGGCTTTTCAATTTCTTCCCATTTTTCCATATTTTCAATTGCGTTTCAATCTTCCATTACTAAGCTTCTTTGGTCTGTTGATAAGTTAATCAGAAAAGATAGGTCTCTCGCGCTCTCTCTCTCCCTCTCTCTCTCACAATCTCTCTCTTTCTCTATCTCTCTCTCTCTCTCAATCTTGCTCTCTCCTTCGCTCTCCCTCTCTATCTTTCAGATGGGAAAACATGCTCATTGAAGGCGATAAATTCATCACTATTTCAGGGGATCTCATCAGTTGGGAAATGCGCTCAATTTTCTTCCTTGCCATCCTTTTGGCCTCGACGTGTGCGACGGTCCAGCTGAGCGGCCAGGTGAAGGCGTTCGTCCAGAAGCTGCTCAATAAGGTCACCACGCCAAAATTCTTCACCGTCACCGACAAGTTGATTTGCGATGTGAGTGAAGGTCACTTTTCTATATGTAATTTTTCAAATTGCCTAATATGCCGATTTTCCAGGTTGGCAACGACACGGCCACCTGGGCGGCCCAGAATTGCGCGCTTTCTGAGCTTATTGACAGTAGGTTCTTGAAAGAGAGTCTGCTAAAGAGAAAGAGTGAGAGAGAGAGAGAGAACGTGCGAGATAGCTAGTGAGAGATAAAGATTAAGAGAGAGAGAACGTGCGAGATAGCTAGTGAGAGATAAAAGTTAAGAAAGACAGACAGAGAGAGAGCGAGAGAGAGAGTGAGGGGAGAGAGACAGGCAGAAAGAGAGAGAGAGATAGCAAGAGCAAGAGCCAGAAAATCACTCTTCTGGCTTCAGATATGAGCGCCAAGGGCTCCTCCTATCAAAACACGCTCATCACGACCAAAGCCAGCCTAGCCAACTACCTGTTCACCTTCATCCAATGCTTGAGCGATGTAGGCTTTTAGAAGATCTCAGTCAATATGTTGCTCCTGAATGCTAATCTTCAGTATAACATATCCATTAGTGCAAAGACAACGGCCTCACCGACTTCATCAAGGGCACTATCGGGTTCGCGCTCTCAAACACGCTGACGAAGCCGTACAACACGTGCGTGGTGGGTGATTCGCCCGGTTTCAGAGATGGGACTACCGCTGCGAAAAAGCCTTGGCTTCAGACTGGACACGTACCAAATCCTAAACCTGGGCCGAAGCCTACCGCAAAACCTAGCCTAAATATAATCCTGTTTTCAGACGCAAAAGATGCCGGCCATGATCAGCGCGGGCAAGACGATTCTGCAGCGCCAGGAGCAGTGCAGCAAGTGCGGCGTTGCCGCGATGACGGACGACTTGATCACCAAAGTTGTTAAGGTATGGAAACATCTGTGGCTCTCTCTTTTCTCTCGCACCCTCCCTCTCCCTCGCTCTCTCTCTCCCGCTCTCTCGGGCGCCCTCCTGTGTGCTACTTTGGGTTCTGCGCTTGGCAATCTAACTTCCAGCAATTTTCTCTTGCAGACGACGATGCAGCGAACCTTCGTGAATACGTGGACTAAATGCGTGCGCCCGCTTATCACCTGCGGCATGCTGAACATCACCCAGTACATCCCGACGGCTGGCCCCGAGAAGACGTGCCTGGCCAAGGGGCCCTCCAAGCTGTGGACCTAGGCGCGATGATAGTATCGAATTGCTCCCGAGCGAGGAGTTCAATAAAGTTGTACACAAGCACGTCCAGAATGAAGGTGTCAACACATTTATGGGTGGTAGAGCAAAACCAAAACCCCGTGCATTAAATTTCATTAATGCGTATTTAACTAAGCACTGATGAGGAGCACGTCAGAATTAGGGACAAGGTCTGGTGGATTGTCACTAAAGCTTGAAAAACGGAAAAACACCGCGTAATACGAGAAATGTTTATTTACACGCCGTACGGAGAAGGCTCCATCATTGAAAAAGTGGGAATTCAAATTAGTGTACGGAGTATCACGTCGGAGCAGGAAAGTGAAGAGCAGGTTTGTACTGGCCGGCGGGTGTTACTGAAAGGAGGTTTATACTAAAGGAAACTGGCAGCTGCGATATCCATGAAAAGTCTATGAATCTATTTTAGAGCGTTAACCAGGGTTGAAAAGCCGCTTCGCGACTTTACTTAAAAATTCTTCCCCTATCGAGATATCCTCTAAACAGACAGAAACAGTAGGTGCAAGGCGGCACACACACAGACAGGTGTATTCAATAGTATTCAATAGAAAGCAAAGACTCACTGGTTTGTGGGCGTCTTGCAAAGCCTTCTGATGCGCTGCTCGCTCCCCGGTGCCGAAGAGGAAGAAGAACTGAAAACAGCTTTAGTAAATTTTAATGCAATTTTTGAAGTGAATTATTCCATGTCAGTCAAGGGCAGATTCATGGCAATTTTCTGAGATATCCCTTGTTTATTTGATATTCCAAAAAAGCCCACCAGAACCCCGATAAGCACACAGCTGACGATGAAGGCAGCGAAGGCGATGAGTGTTTTCATCGCAATGTTCCGCTGAAATAGACCATTGCTTTTTGATCTAGAAAGGAGAGAGAGAGAGAGAGAGAGAGAGAGAGAGAGAGAGAGAAACAGAATGAGAGAGAGACAGACGAGAGAGAGAAAGAGAGAGTGAGTGAGAAAGAGAGGGAAAGAGAGAGACAGAGATATAGAGAGAGAGCGAGAAAGATAGAGAAAGAGGGTGAGAGAGAGTTAGAGATCAGAAGAGGTTTTGAATATTTCCAAAACATACGGTAGCTATGAAAAACAGCTTACAAGACTCGACTGGCTGGGTTCTGCGCTGCTTAAAAGTTCCTCAATATCGTGGTGCAAATGGTGATCATGATGATGGTGGTCGTGGTGCTTATCATGAGTAGTTTCCATATAAACGTCCTTGCTCATTTTTTCGGAATGTAGTCAAATTTGTAGCTTGAATTCAAGTGAATTAAATCCGGAATAGCAGTTGCTAGTTTCTCCTTGTCGAAATTGGCAGTAGAGTCGAATTTCGGTGTAGCTCGCCTCGTGGAAATTTGCGGGTCGGTAGGGAATAACAAGGGGGGCGGGTGCTGGGGGCCCTTGGGCCCCTATGACACGTAAACAGGGGCCCTGCCGGAGGTTCTTTTAGCTCTTTTGGCTTCTCTGTCTCTTAGGTCTTTCCGGCAGAACCGGATCCTCCTGTTTTTCTATTTTCTATAGGTGGTGGCCCATCAACCCTCCAGGCCATAGGTCGTTTGTCAAAGAATATTGGATGGAGAGCCTCGAGAAAGCACTAATGGGCAAGAAAACTTAATAAAAGGACAGTTAAGGGCTTTTTGAGTGGTTCCTGGGAACAGCAACTTCCAGGTTTTTAGGGTTTTTTGGCTTTCAAACGATTTTAAAGGCGGGTAACTTTTGAAATTGCCGTTTTTTTTTGGGGCTGAACGTTGCCAGAACGATGCCTGTGCAAACTGGCAAAGACAGGTGGAAAAACCTCAACTAGCTTTCCTTACATAATGCAAAAAATCCTTTGAAAATCAGCCAATTTCGCTAAATCCCCAAGAATTTCTGCTTATTTCTGCTATTTTTAAATTTTTCTAAAGTTTGTGAGTTTTTGGAATTTTGCAAATGAAGAGCGGCAAATTCCAACCACAGCTATTTTATTTTTTGAATCTAGAATCTTTTTTGAAGCGCAGTACCTTTTTTAGCTTTTAAATGGCGTCATTGTTGTAGGTCGGAGAAGTGCGCCATTGCTTCGTCAATGAACCTTACGATCTTTGTTTTGAGTTGCTCTAGCCCCATTGCTTCTTTTACTTAGCGTTAGATGTTGTGATTCTGGTTGTCCTTTGCTCTCTCTCTCTCTCTCTCTCTCTCTCTCTCTCTCTCTCGTCCTCATTAATCTAGCCACGAAAACATTCCACTAAAAATGTCTCTTTCTCGCCCGTTCGGTAGGCTGTTTCACAATTTGCACTTGCACAATAAAATGGGGAACCAGCAGCGCCCTAAAGGCTAGAGAGGGGCTTCTTGTTTATCCCCAGCCCTGGGGCTATGCCAGAACCATGTGGTTAGCCTTTCTCTAGCTGCCCGGGGGCCCTATTTTGGTCCGAAAAGCCGGCTATTTTGGGGCAGGTATGTTTTGGAAACGGCTTGGGGATGGACGCCCAAAGATGGGCGACAATTTTCAGCCCGGGATTTTGTTGATGAATCGCCTTGGGTGACGCCGAGAATTATGGGGATGATGCTTGAAATGTTGTCTATTTTCGTACCTGATCCCTGAACATTGCGAAGCAGCCAAAAGTCGAAAAATTCAGAAAACAGGACCAGCAAACTTTTGTTTTTTAATGTTTTTGAATTTGCGGCTAAGATTCTGAGTTTTTGACCTCTTCCGTGCTTTGGTAAGTAGATTCCCCAAACTAATCAAACCAAAGCGTTTTTAATATTTAGATGGAGACGGAATTTTTTCGAGAGTATTGTGTACCCATTTAACAAAGGCTAAAAATTTGCTAATTCGACGATCGGATCTGTTTCATCTAGCGAACCACCAAGTTAAAAAAAACTTTTTGGAGAAAATCTGGACAAATTGACCTGCGATAGGTCTTTCAAAAGCGCAAATGTTTTTGGTGATGATGTGCTCATTGGTTTTTCCTGGGTTTTTTCTGACATTTTTCTAGCTTTCAAAGACAGTCATTTTAGCCCCTTTTCGAACTAAAAAGCTGCGTAACTTCTTCGAAATGGGCATTTAGCAGTTTTGGAAAACATATTCAGGGTCTACGCGAGATTCTGGACAAACTGGTCTGGTGGCGACTCAAAACTTACTTTACACTAAAAACTCATTGTTAGGCTGACGCAAAAATAACTAAGGTTTGCCATAATTTACAAAGGCTGGAATTAAGCATCCTCTCAAAGTAGTCTTTCACATGTCAAAAGGCCGTTCGCGAGAGACCCGAACTGGCTTGGTACAGTTTTTTTCGACCCTGGTTTTTTGACGCCATCTGAAAGAGCATGGTCGAATTAATAGGGCCGCACTATTTTGAGAATTTTAAAAAGTCATTTTCGGGGTTTAAATGGCCGCTAAAGTTGCGTACCTCAAAAATTTATCTCGAAAACCACACGGCCGATCTTGCTGAAAATTTTTGTCAATGCCTAATTTGGGATGGGGATCATTTCTCTAATACATTGGGAAGCACGAAAATGGCAGGAACATAGGTATATTGCGTACCATAAACAGTTTTTGAGGGTTTTCTACTACAAGGCGTGTCCGGCGCATCTTGAAAATAGCATAGAAAGATGCACCGGAAGATTCTGCGTCGAATGATGTGCTTTCCAAGATGCGCCCAACTCGCCTCTAGTCGCTGTACCGAGGTTTCGACGTCGAAAACCATCAAAATTGACGTTTTTTGGGGGGATTTCTGGGCTGGGCTATGCGAGATAGTGCGAGAGGGGGAGAGGGCAGAGGGCTAGGGGGGGCAAGTTGGGGGCTCTCAGGCAGCACCCGACTCGCCCCCCCAGGGCTGTTGTCTGCCTCGAGTCTCGACCCTCCCGCGCTCTCTCGTTGGCGCACCCGGGAATCCTCCCAAAAAACGTCAATTTTGATGGTTTTCGACGTCGAAACCTCGGTACAGGGTAGAGGCGAGTTGGGCGCATCTTGGAAAGCACATAATTCGACGCAGAATCTTCCGGTGCATCTTTCTATGCTATTTTCAAGATGCGCCGGACACGCCTTGTAGTAGAAAACCCTCAAAAACTGTTTATGGTACGCAATATACCTATGTTCCTGCCATTTTCGTGCTTCCCAAAGTATTAGAGAAATGATCCCCATCCCAAATTAGGCATTGACAAAAATTTTCAGCAAGATCGGCCGTGTGGTTTTCGAGATAAATTTTTGAGGTACGCAACTTTAGCGGCCATTTAAACCCCGAAAATGACTTTTTAAAATTCTCAAAATAGTGCGGCCCTATTAATTCGACCATGCTCTTTCAGATGGCGTCAAAAAACCAGGGTCGAAAAAAACTGTACCAAGCCATCATGGGGGCAGTTCGGGTCTCTCGCAAACGGCCTTTCAAAACTGCCTTGAATTGGTCTTCTGATGCTGCCAGCTCAGAATCATGTCGTGCTGCGCTCGCTAGTCTGGTAGTCGACAGACAAAAATCGTACTTTAGACGGCCAGTTTTTGTCACCTTGGAGGGAGTCGTTGCTCCTTTAGAAAGGTTTTAATTTCGATACGAGTCAATAGCTGCTGCTCCCAAATTTCCCAAATTCTTGAGCTAAAAATAGATGCCTCATAATTCTCCGGCCGTTCCTGCAGCCGGTTCCTCCCATCCCCCAATTTTTGGCCGCGATCCTTGATCATGTCTGCCCCGGAAAAAAATGATTACAGCCGGATGTGGATGGGGAGATGGACACCACCAGCTTGGGGGAAAATGTTAGGGTTTGCTGGTCGGGAGCCCCTTGAGGCCCAGGCTCGGCTCGTGATCAACTGTTGGGGGTCGGCTGGCACCTGGTGGTGAGTGACGACATTAGGCTGCAACCAAAGGGTGCTAGGAAAAGCTGGAGGCTCTTTCGATAGGATGGCTTTGGCGAAAATATTTTTGAGAAATAAAGGCAGGAGTGGACTGGCGGCTCTGCAAAAAAATGTCATTTTTGACGAGGCTAAGGAGTGATAGCGGCGGTTATACACATT